GTTCTGAGGAAGGGTCACTGGACCCGAAACGTTAACTCTGTTTTTTCCTTCACAGATGCTGCCAGACCTGCTGAGCCTTTCCAGCAACTTTGTTTTTGTTCCTCTCGGTTAATATATTGGTTTCTCTTAATAATTTACATCTCAAAAATCAAAATCATTCTTTTAAAGTCTTCTAAACTCAGGGGAATGGAACTCTAATCTGATTGATCGCACCTCACAATTTAACCTTTGTAGTCCAGTAATACACTGCACTCCCTCAGAGGTCAAATCTAAAACTGAAGACCTAATGATGTAGGGATATTAAATGGAGTCCTATGAAACACACTGAACGTATTACTGCATTTAAAAAAGTACTCTCTAAAATGTACATCTTCAAAGCTAAGAAGCAAATTTAGCATAAGCACAGCATGCTAGTCTTTTATATAGTATTATAGACTCCATACCATTTCAAAAAGTTAGGGATGACAACAAGATTTCACATTTTGTTTTAAAACACCAATGTTTTTATCCATTATCTGTAAAGCAGACTAAAGGCGCTATTGATGAAACATTATTTTTGTAGGCAACTTTCATTTTATCCTAGAGAACTGAACTGTTAAGACAATTGAACATAGTTGGCTATGTACACTGTCCTTTCAAAAGACATTCAATTCACAAGGAATCAGCCCAAAATGCTTTCTAGCTCCCGAGGGTTTAATTTCTATCTTTTCCCCCAGCCTGGACACGATTTAACTCACCACGAAAGAAAGTTCCGAAGACTTTTCTTGAGTCTTGCTTTTAGCTCAGGGCAAGAAAATCTTCCCACGAATATGGCCTTTTCAAATTGGACAAAAAATTCTACCCATACTCTAGTATGGTGAACCATACAGATTTTCATCCTCTAGTTGCTCCCTCTCTCCTGGGCCCCAACAGACTAATCTAACACATTTAGTGTTGATTTTTTAAGGAAATCCTGTACCACAATATCACAATGACTTCCAATCTCAAAAGTCTACCACCATAGAAATAGAAGTCACATGGACCCAGATTTTGGCAGAGATGGGATTAGTTTTTTTCTTATTCACTCGAGTCATGGCCACCAATGGTCCCTAAGTGGCCACAAGAAGGTGGTGGTGAGCTGACTTCTTGAATTGCTACAGTCCATGCTGTAGAGAGACCCACAGTGCTGTTAGGAAGGAAGTTCCACAATTTTGACCCAATGACGCTGAAGGAATGGCAATATATCTCTAAGTCAGGATAGTCAGTGGTTTGGATGGGAACTTCCAGGTAGTGTTATTCCCATGTATCTACTGGCCACCCTTCTAGATAGAAGTAGTCATGGGTTTGGTAAGGGCTAAGCAGCCTGGGTGAATTTCTGTGGTGAGTTTTGTAGATGGTACACACTGCTGAATGTCACCAGTGGAGGGAATGAATATTTGTGGATGTGGTGCCAATCAGCAGGCTGTTTTGTCCTGAATGGTGTCAAGCTTCTTGACTGTTGTTGGAGCTGCTAAGGGGGTGATGAATATTCCATCACAACACTGATTTATGCCTAATACATGGTGGACTGGTTTTGGGGAGTGATGAAGTGTTTTACTCACTGCAATATTCCTTGCATCAGGCCTGTTCTTGTGGCCATGATTTATATCGCTAGAACAGTTCAGTTTCTGGTAACCCACCCCACCCACCCAGGATGTTGACAGTGGGGCATTCAAGGATGGTGGTTGTATTTTCTCTTATTGGAAATGGTTATTGCCTGGCATGTGCACCACGAATGTTACTTGCACTTTTCAATCCAAGCCTCAATATTGCCCAGGTCTTGCTGCATTTGTGATCAAGGCTGAGATAAACAGGCCTTAGAATCAGTCAGGGAAATGAGGGTTAAATTGGGATCGGACAGGAAAGTAGAGTGGGTGATGATCAGTGCAGCCCTGATTTCATAGCAGCAGAAGCAAGCCATATGGTCTTCCAGAGAGCTCAACTTTTCCACCTTGGAAAGAAACAGACAGTTTAAAATTTCAGGGACTTGGGAAATGCTCAGACTATCCACCGTTGGCAAACAGGCTGCTATCGTCGTCACCTTGCACCTTCTTCTCACTTTAAAGGCAACATTATCAGGGCTGCTTCAACGTCAAGCAATTACACCACCCAGCAAGCTGTCCAGGCAGACTTCAAGTGACTCCCTTCGTTTTATCGCAGACCTCAAAATTAATGTCAAAAAGGCGATTCCATACAGAGCACTTGAATGAAGGATGATTTTTCACCTTCATATCGTAAATCACAAGTGTAAACAGACTCAAGTGCACTAGCGCGTGTAAAAACATTGTTTCATAAATGATTCAATTGATAGACGCATTAACGAAGCTACCATGTATCCAACAATCGCCCTTAGTTGTAAACAATTTCTGATCAGTAGTTGCCAACAAATTTAACATCGCACAGAAACTTACGTTGGGGGGTGGGAGAATGATCTATGACCGAGCAGAGTAAACAGGGGAAAATAAATAACAGCCCCCGGAGATTTCACGAAAATCTATTTCTTGCCACTGTTAACACAAAAAAAATGTGGTGGTGATGACGGGTGGTATCGTGGAAATTGTGAATAATGTATAGAAGATAATATTAAAAGTGACATTTTAAAAAAAACTGGTAGATGGGGTCACCCTTGCAGCCCTCCCCAACCCCAACCAGAAAGTGATAAAGCTTCTTTACCCCTAACAGACTATACACATTCTCGGCTACTACCCTTCGAACCCGCATAGCACAATAAAACGAGAAATGTTACAATGTAACCTTACGTGCGACACTGTTCTCATGGGGGACATTTATGGAAAGTTCTTATTCAATTGGTTTCGGAGGCACCTAGCCTCCGGCTGAATGGAGCAGCTCTTTGTCTGCACAGCGGCGCTTCCACGCGATAGATGGCTATTGTCCAATACCAACTCACCACTCCCCCCCTCAAAACACACCCCCCAGTGAACAAAAATAAATAAATGTTTACTATGGAACTCGCACCACTTCGCCGTTTTAACAGCACAAATACAAATCGAATCTATGATGTAGTATTCAAAGAGTTGAGATTTTAGGAGTCCCTTCCCCCACACTCAAAAGAAAAGATACAGGAAAGCGCCAGAGCCTTCAGCCCATAAGGGCAGCCTGTGTAATAACTTGACAGACGGGTCCATTCAACCAGCGCCAATTACAACTTGGTATGTAATTAGAGATAAGAAAACAATTCCGACATAAAACCGTGGACGCTGGCTTTAAAGATTCAGATTTCACAGGCTGGAAAAGATAACACTTAAAACCATCACAAATTGCTGTTTGAAATGTAGAAGACTCAGACACCATCTGCCCAATGGTTTATTGGAAAAAGATGGGAGTCTGGGCATTGTTTTTAAAAAAGCTGTTCAGTACAAACCGACCAACTCTACATCAAGGGATTCCCTAGGAATTTGCCGCAGATATTCGTCCGACTACCCAATCACTCCTTATGAAAATACGATACGGTAAAATTATATAAACACAATGAACTTAGTGCCTCTAAAAGGAGAGGCTAGTCTACTTAAAACAGGAAAATCTCAAAATCACTACCGTCAATAAACAGTATTAAAAAAGTCCATCGGTAACAAACAAATCACACAAATCCACTAAGATATTTTTCCCCTCGACACTAGTTCAATACTAGAATTTAAATGAAGCTCACATACACATTTTAACCCACATGTACGCCAATGGGAGGAGTGCACATTGCTAACGTGAACTCCTAAAGTAAACATTTATCCGCCTAAAAAAAATTACATTTTACCATCGAAGAGACGTGCACCCCAAATTTCGGTCAGCCTTACTTTTGCAGCACGTTTTCGTAGTCCCCGCGGAGTTTCCCCAGCTCTATTTGCAACCGCGCTCTCTCTTTCGCAGTCTCGTCCAGAGATTGGCGAGCGTCCGCCAGCTCATTCTCGTACAGGTTCCTGATGCTGGTCAACTCTCGGCTGGTCACTTCTTCCCTCTCGGTGATTTGCAACTGCAGGATACTGTTCTCGGACTCCAGCGAGCGTACCTTTTCGATGTATACGGCGAGTCTGTCGTTGAGGTTCTTCAGTTCCTCTTTCTCCTGCAGCCGGGAAATGCGGGTCGGACTGAGCGGGGAACTGGCTGCACTCCGGCCGCTCGGACGCGGCTGGGTCTTTGGAGTAGCCGTCGCCATAACTTCCAGTCAGTGATTTTTGTTTAAACTTTATTTTGTAAATAAAAACTAAAGCAAACAAATGAGGTGAACGCGCAATGTTTTTTTTTCCTCCCTCAAACAAAATAACCAAAGCAATGCGAGAAGCGCGAGCACCTGATTTTCCTTTCCCCTTGTTCTGTGCCCGCGCTTCTCTTCCACGATCACTAGCTCCCGCTGTTAAAATGGCTCCTGGTTTTGCTGTTGGAGATGCACAACGTGACCATCTGCAGGCCAATTGTACCGCGAGACTTAGACCGGTCCTCAAACAGCGTTCACTGTAAAGTTTGCGAAGTATTAATTTTCCAATGTAAATCACCCTATAACTGCAATATTTTCTCCGCTTATGACTAAAATAAGGCAGAATGCATCCGCTGAGAATTAGTTAACCAGGAATTAGAGTTGTTTGATCGTGGAGGGTTTTTGTTTCTCTCAGAATCCGTGTCGCTGCGGTGCAGCGATTGTTTGTAGATGTGAAGATGCTTATATTGAATGATATGGCCCATGTATCACATCATATTGAACGGCTCTCCGTATTAGGGGAATATTATAATAGGTTGACTGGAAGGGTGAAAGAAGTTGAATGGATTAGTCGAATTGTTTTATTAAACATGACTTTAAGGTTCGAAATTTATGAGATTTTGTTACTTGAACAGTTTCTCGTTTATATTTATCGTGCTGATAAACCGTTAAGGTTGTATGTGCATAAATCTTTCGTGAACAGGGATTTCATCATATGGTGAACGCGTACAGCTTCGATGATAAACAAGGTAAATGATACAGAATATTGATAAACAATTGTTTATTTTCACAAGAACACGAGTGATCTGAAAAACAGAAAGATCTGGAAATGCTCAGCAGGTCAATGGAGAAACGAGGAAGCAGTTGACATTTTTTTAGTCTAAAACTGTTCTACTTCTAATGAGACAACAAGGTGCAAGGCTGGATGAACACAGCAGGCCAAGCAGCA